AGGGAGGGAGACACAGCACCAGGGTGAGGCATGGCAAATAAAAGAGATATACACATGTAGACAAAATGATATTCAAAAAGGATTGGACTCATGAAAATTTAGCATAATCTAAGCAGCAATATTTATTACAAAATAAGTCTAAAATTGCCTTTACTCGTTTCTCAAAAGTACAAATTTATTTTTTTAAAAATCTGAAAAATTAAAAGTTTTGTTAGGTTTTCTACACAAACGTGTTTTAATTGAAGTTTAAAGTCATGAAGAAGACAAAACTTGATACCAGAAGGAGTATAATCAGTCAAAACCACGTGTTCACAATAAGCTGCTATTTCAAGGTAGGGAGATTTTTGCAGTGATACTGGAAGAATACTTCATTTGTAAGCATTGATTCAGTCTAAACATAAGCTCTGTCTCCAAGCCCTTCAGCTAAGTGTGTTCATCCACCTGATTGGCTGCTCTCATTTCCATTTTGTTGTGATTTCCTCCCAGCTACATCTATTGGTGGAGACTGGGCATCCTCTGTGGGTGAGAAAAAAATAATTATGACACAGAAACTCATTGTGTCCAATATAATAAAAGCACTGCTGTATTCAGGCACTAGTTTTGTTTAACACATGTTTTAAAGGGAGATAGAGATTCTTATAAGTGGAGAGAAGCCCTCTGGGAAAGGTTTTTGTGCAATAACAAGCAAAGCCAAATAAACCCATAAAAAGAGAAGAGCTGCAATCTGATTTATAATGAACAAAGATTGAAAACTGTGCAATTCTTGTGCTGTAATGATCAATGACTTTCAAAAAACAAAAGAACAAAAAGCTAGAGTTTTATGGAAAAGTTTTGATGGAAAAGTTTTTGTAGCTAGCTGCAATTGTTTTGCAGCTAGCTACTTGTTCTCTAGTCAGATAAGAGATTAACAGGAAACCACGCCAAGATTCAGAATGCAGAGTATGACCTGACTCATGTGAAGTCCCAGCTTTAGTTGAGCTGTTTAACATTTCTTTTATAGTCAAGAAAATCACAATCAAAATAGTTTTGAATGTAAATTAGTTGGACAAAAAAGTCCAAAGCTTTTTCCAAATACATAACTGTACAGAACCTTTTAGCTGTATGAGCTAAAATAAGAAGAAAAAAACCTCCATATGTGTAGTTAGACTTGTTCTCCCCGGTTACTTTACTGGGTACATAATTGTTTTGTCTACTCAAAAAGAAAATTAGCCAATAATATGCCAACAGGTCAGTGCATTTTGACATTCAGCTGTCATTCATCTGTGAAAGTTCAAACCAAGCATCAGCATGAAGAAAAAAGTGGCCTTTTCTTTCACACTGTCACCAGACAGGCTGATTTGAATATTTTACGAACTGTTGAACTTTAATTATTTTCATGGACACCAATCCCACAGTTTTAGAAAGCATGGTCCAAAAATATCCAGTTTGACAATGATCAGAATGTTAACATGTATTCCCAGTATTTCAGCAGTTTGTCTAAATTGTTGGCAGTAAACTTTAAATACACATCAACTTGTTTTTTCTTCAGCAGCTGAGTAGAGGTAGAGGAAATGGAGGCAGAGTTCTGAGGTTCAACCAATATAATTTCTGAGCTTTACTGCACAGCAAATTATTTCTTATTAAATTATAGCTTGCAATGTTGTACTGTTGTAATGAGGAACAAGAGAATCAATCACGCAGCTTAGGAAATGACGACATTGACTATGTCCCTTGGAAACTGCAAAATCCAAGTGTGTGGAGTACAGAATAAGCTCTGACTAGAAACTAGGGCTGGATAGTAATCCTAAAAACTTATCACAATTTTAATGTTTCATATCAGGCATTATCAATAACTGCAGATTAGTCTTTTGTTATCTGAAATACTGCCATTCTGATGGTGTGACCTGTCCTGTTTCATCCATAGTTTTCACTCCACACCATAGCTTAGTACTGGAAATACTAACAGGTCTACTTGACATGTAATTCCCCCTTAAGATCAATAAAGTATTTTGGATTTGAATTTAGATTGAACAGTAATGAATCTATTCCATGGAGTAAACCAAAATGTTCTAATCTTGGCTGTTGGAACATACAGTCAGAGTTTTACATATGCCCCTGCTCTGACACTTCTGATTTAAATAAACAGGTGTTGAACAGGGTTTTGTAGACCTAATGGTGAGTTTGTATGGCTCATTAAGTAATTCTTTAGAATCAGGGCTACTGAGGACAAGGGTAGACATTTTTAGAATAAACAAATTGTATATTCAGTCAGGTTGTGGGGTCAAGATAATCTATAAGTCTCATCAGGCTTAAAGAGAACTTGGTGATAGACAGGTCGCACCATTCAAAGTGATATCCAAATCACAGGGAAGGTTTTACAAGTTGTATAATTTTAATTAAGCAAATACATTTCTGAATAACATAATGTCTCATTTGGGCTTTAAACAGACCTTTGGATTCAGGGGGTGCAGAGACAGTTTCAACTGCCTTGCTCTTCTTTGATTTCTGTAAAAAAGATAGGACAGGTTATGATCATAAAATAAATTAATTATCCCTAAACACTATAAGCCTGTTGCAATAATCAATCAATTAATTACATAATAAATTAAAATCAGCTCCACAATGTCCATTCTGAGACATCATATTAACCATTTAATTAATGGCTTTGGTTGTGTTTTATCTATTTTATTGGTCTTTGTGAAGGCAAACTTGCATTATTATGCCATTATTAACATATTGTCCAATAATTTTTATTATTATGACAGGTCAAGGTGTATAGTTGCATGATTATGTAGCGATCAGTATGTTAGTTGAAAATGGATTTAATACAACGTTATAATTTATCTCAATACTTTATGGAGTGATTTATAATACAGTAAAATGTGTTATCATGACAAGCCTACCAATATGGTCAGAAAAAACTCCAATGCATCTTCATAAACTTTAACGATAAAATTCACCTTGGTTTTTGCTTTGACTCGTTTCTCCTCCATCTTCTCCTTCAGCTTCTGGACCTCCTCTTTTGTGCCATTAAGCACAACTATGTCTTCATCTTTAAAAGGATCCCCACACTGAAATGCAAAGAAACAATTTAACACAATTAACATAAAAAGGAAAAAAAAGACAACAGAAAATCACAAGATGGATCATCTAATTAGATAAAATACTGAAATCGTCGACTAACGTAAAGGATTAAAATAGTCCCAATCGAGAACCTATAACTGTTGTAATGAGCAGTTGAGCTCAAAATTATTTATACCTCTAAAATTTTAAATGATCATCATTCAACAAAACATTTTCAATTAAATGGAACTGAACCGATTATATGTTGAATACACCCGGAAAACATGTAAATAGCCTCCCATATATATAAAAAATATTGATAAATACTTTAAATACTTATTGTACAATACTTCAATGATAAACTAATTTCTTAAACATTTTTTGAAAACATGCATATAGTGGTGGTTTTTGAAATGGGCAGTTGCAGTTGTAAGAAAGGGGTGGGGCACCCAGTAGCTAGAAAATAAAATATATCTTATCTGTCAGTTGTCCCCTGAACAAGTTTGATACTGCTTGTGTCCATGTGTACTATTTCGCATTGAGATCTAGGATACTACATTACTTATTATCAGAGTGTGATTGATCTGAAAAAAATATTGTAATGACAGCACAAAAAAGCCATTATGCTGAATTTAACAGAAACCAGAAAATAAGTTTGTCTACTGAATGAACTGCATTTGCTTTAGCGAAAAACTACAAGTGTCTTAATATTTTAATATTTTTCACAGTACAGACACAATTCACAAGGGCACATTTGATTCATATACTAGTCCAATGGTATGTATGTCTTCCAGGGTTAAATGAGTTCGAGAAGCACATTCAACAAGTAGTCCTGCTTTGTCTTGCAAATTAATTATTTGTTTAGGATAATTGATGGAAATCTGCAACAAAATCTGTGGGAGACGTGTGGCACTGATTAGATAGACAAATGACGCAAATAGTAAAATATGGGAGGCTATTTTCACGTTTTCAGGGTGTAGTCAGTTTACGTTTAAGTGTGTTATGTTTATGACGTAACACACTTAAATGTCAGTCATATGCACACCCCTTCAATAAAGTGTGACTATAAAATCTAATAAAACACTATAAACAACACTGTACATGCTTTGCATAATATAGTGACACAACAATAATGAAGCTTTAGTTACATAGTTCTCAGGCCTTGCTGCCATTACTATGGCTAGCAAATGTAATTTCTGCTTAGACCTCTTTTGGAAACAAATTTGTATCCAATTTTATATGACAAACAAAAATATGCTACACTTAAAAGTATTTTCAGAGATTAAAAATCCTTCATGTGTACATGTCTGTACCACAAGAATAGAACAAGTAAAATGGCTTCCTTGTAATAAAAAGGAAATCACACCCACAAATATTAAAAGGGGAACAACCAGCACAGGATCTATTGTGTGATCATACCCCACTGTGGGTGTGGACTCTGGCCATGTGCTCTATCCAACAGAAGAGGGATAAACACAGAAGCTGACCAAGCAGCAAACAACCCCTGTGCATGTTGCTCTGAAGTCATTAATTCTCATGCTGCCAGTACCACAGAAGGCAGGCCACTGGGAATCGAAGCACTTTAACATCAGATCAACAAATAGAGCAAGTAGGAACCTGTTAGAGTTGAACATCTGCAGGAAGGAGAACAAGGGGGCTGGTATTTACCAGGAAGAGCTGTGTGGATGATTCATTACCTATGACCTAATTACACATGGAGGGACAAAGAGAAAGGGGGCAGATAAAACAGGTTGAGGTAAAACAGAGAAAAATGAAGGGAGAGAAAGAGAAACACAGCAACCACAAGCGAGAAGGAAGCCGTATGATGTGGGAGGAGAGAGGAAAAAAACTGTAGTGTGCAATGAGTCAGTCTGTTCCTGTATGTCACTTGTGTAATTCTGTGTTACTGCTGGTAACCAGGGAAGGATGAACCTTTTCTCACAGGGATATGAGGAGGAGCCACCTAATCAGCAATGAGTACAACTCGAGCATAACACACACAGCTGGCTTTATGAGACACTGGCGCTCAGAGGACTCAGCCCCCGCCAGAGCACAACAAAGCAATCTTTACAACCAAATATAGCTCTGAAGTAGTGTACATATTTCTGCTGCTGTTCTTCTTGATGGAGCTAGTGGAGAGGACTACTCTGTGCGGGATGTAGTTTGACAGCTCTGAAGAGCATTGAAGCTTGAGAGGATTGAAGATTTAAAGGGTTATTTCTTCATAGACACAACAGACTGAACTGCCAACTGAAGGTAAATTAGCATGTTTTTGACACAAATGATTTAAGAGTTTGATATACACAGCATAGAAATAATTGAGGTAAAAGTGTGAAGGAAGTGCAACAATTGACTTGTAAAGTTTACGCAGTTCATACGTATTTGTCCCTTAATGTTTTCTGCTGTTTTATGTTGATGTTTCTGATATCTAAGAAAAGAACACCTATGTAAATACTAAATTTAGTTTTCAAATTTTTTTATTCGCCCTGAATAAAAAGCTATTAAAAGCCAACATAGCATAGAAAAAAAAAAGAAGAGAATAAACCCTCAACGTATTAACTACTTCTCGTAATAGCTGTCCTCAAGTGTTTTGAATATGTGGAAAATAGAGTTTTATTTTTTGGCCCACTCTTCTTTGCATTATTCCAATTGCACACAAATAGGAAAGGTTTTGATACAAACCAAATTAAAGTTATGACACATAGTCTTAATTGGATTTAAACCTGGACTTTGACTGGGCCACTCTAAAAAACTTCCAAATTGTTTATTTTTAAGGACTTCAGAAGTGAATATTGTGGATCACTGTTCTGCTATATGACTCAAGTATGCATGAGTTTAAAGTCATAAACTGAGAACTGGAAAGTGTCCCACAGGGTTTTCTGGTAGAGAACAGAACTCACCATGCTTTCATTTACAGAAACTCCTCTGCTTTCTTAAAGCAGCAAAGCAGATCCTGACCACAATATCAACCCTGTGTTTGACTTTCAGTATGATGCTCTTTTTCTCAAACGTCACCATATATCTTCCTGAAAAATGTTCTTTTTATCTCAGTCCACAAAATACTTTCCTTATGATCGTAGCAATTAAAACATGTATATTTGGGGAAATGGGACAAGGGACCTTGTTTTCTTTTTGGTCAGCAGTGTTTTTATTTATTTATTTATTCAGTCTGATTTTTCCCGTTAAAGCCATTTTAGTCCAGTTATATTTTTATTTTTGAAACATGACCGCTGATTCTTTCTGAGGCAAGTTAGGGCTCAGATGTTTATGATTGAGGAAGCAATTATTTTTATATTAGAGATTAGAGATTTTACATGATTTGAAAGTTTATTAAATCATTCTTGTTTTCTTGTTTCGAGACAAAGCAAAAACAAAAAAAATTTTTTGTAAAAAGTACTGTACTCAATCTGAGGGCGGGAAAAAAGATGTAAGGCATTTCCTATACAAGTATCTGCTGTTTCTTTTATCAAAGCCACAGACCAACATGGCCACTGAGGAAAAGTATTTCAATAGAAGACTATAAATCCACATATTTCCTCAGCGTATCACTTTCCTCTGGGAATTCTGCCTTTTTTGTTCTGCGTGGAATTCAACAAAACATGCTTTTTTCTTTTCTTATCTTAATTTTTTCTAGTACATCATGACTGATCATAAAAGAGCAAAAAAATATCTTTGCTTGTTGAGGCAAAGGTTTTATACCATTTTTTTAACCTGAGGTATGTAAAAACAACTCTGTCAATGAGCTGGAGCATCCATGGTAAACCATTCCCCCATTTATGTTAAGTTTTTTTTTCCCTCTAAGCTTTGTTTAGGCAAGTCTGTAAAAGAAACAAGAAAGATAGAAAATGTTCCAATATATGTCACAACAGCTTACTGAATAATAGTTGCATAAAATACATTTGTGGAACTTTTTTTGTTCTTTCTTTGAATGATCAGTGCAAAGAATTATTTGCACCCTCATAGGGCACCACAAAATTTCACAATGACTGACAACAGCTTCTATATACATTTCTAATGATTACAAGCTAACCAATGCAAAAACATTGAAGCGTACACAGAAGTAAAGTTTTCATTTAAATCCACACCGTTTTTCCACAACAACTAAAAAAACTTGACAGATCCACAAAAAAGAAGGGCATGGAAGTAAGAGTCATTAAGAGTTTGCTCAAATATTAAAAGTAATGAAATGTTTATTATTTAAGTGTTCAAAATTATATATTATAGCCACTACTATAAATAAAAACTAGCTGCATGATGTAATAAAACTACCAATTCATGTGTTACCAAGAGTTTAGCGTACCAAAACTACAGACATCAGTGTTAAAAGCAACTAAGCCACAGCTTTTAACTGTGGCTTAGTTGCACCTAAGCCACAGATGCAACTATGGTTTAGGGTGAAGAGTTTTGTAATAAGAATATTTTAGGTTTGATTCTAACTGCTCACGCCACATAATAATGTGCTTCTTGGCATGGCACTAAACCCAAAGTGGTCTACTGTTCTGTATGTCGGTACATGATTGTGAGCGTGCTTGTTAGTGTTACTGGGTAAATGTGGATATAGGGTAAAAATGCTTTCCATGGTTGATATGATTAGAGAAGTCCTATATACATTTATTATATTAGTTATTTGCAGTGTATTATCATTTAAGGGAATGCACCCTATGCCAGAGACTTTATTTAAGAAAGTAGCTCTTCTTCATTAAAGTGAATGTTTTTCAAGGTTTAAGGGATCAATGCAAAGCCTTTTTATATAGGAAGAATTCTTGTGGTCGAGACTTACAAAAGGAAGCATAAAAACATGTTTTATAACAGAAAAAGTAGCTGCTTCATAATTTTTTTCTTCTGTTTCACATTTAAGCACAACTTACAATATTTGTTTGTGTAGTTATTGATTAGTTTAATTAACATAATGGTATGCAAAATGTATGATACTGTACTGTTGACCAGACTCTTTTACAGTCTGAAAAAGAAACTGGTTAATAAGCAGTTTATATGTTATATGTCAGATATCCTCTTTTAGGGGCTAACTTCTTAAAAACTGGCTTCATCAGTAAGATGTGACCTACATGTTTAACCTTATTTGATATTCCCAAATGAGAGATCTGTCTGGAACTAACCAATCTGGGTTTCTTCGTAGGAAAAAGCTGTGGTGGTGCTGAAATACAAGAGCAAAACAAGGCTATTATGCACCAGCTCGGAGGAAGAAAATGTAGCTTCCTGTTCTCCCTGGGGGTTGTGACGTGTTCAATAATTTATTGGCTGAGTAGAACTAAACTAGTGGGAACGCCTACAAGCAGCAGACCTTTCATCACTGAAAGTAAGCCCAACCTGGCTGGCACTGAGAAAAGAGAAAATTACTGTCAGGTATGTATTTTCTATAACTGATAAAGTGCACAACAGCTTTAACATTCAATTTCATTTTTTCAAGGTAATAGTTAAAAATTTACAGACAACTGATAACATTTCAGCAGTACTTTGTTTATTGCTTTGCCCTGTCTTGGCACCAGTATATATAACAATCGCATATGTCTGATAAAGGTGATAAAAGAAATAAATAATTAAAAAATGAGCAATACAATGAACACAATAAAACAAAAAATTCTGATCCACAGAACGGGAAACAGATCAACAAGTTGGCACTACCCAAAAATGTGAGTGTACATTTTAAATAACTGAAGTGTTAAAAAAAATAATACCACCTCTATAAAGAAAGTGAATTAATATGTATTTCTTCTTTCCACAGGTGGGAAATTATATTCACAGTACCAACCTGCAATGTTCAAATTTGTCTAAAGAACTACACTTTATCAACACAACTTTGAGTCGTGAAGAAGAGAACTATCCTCTGGCTTTCATTGTCACTATTCACAAAGAGCTAGATATTTTTGTTCGCATGCTTCGAGCTATCTACATGCCTCAAAATGTTTACTGCATACATGTGGATGCCAATGCTTCACATGAGTACAAGGAAGCCGTACAAAAGCTTGTCAGTTGCTTTGATAACGTGTTCCTCTCCAGTCGCAGTGAAAAAGTGACATATGCAGGATTTTCACGCCTGCAAGCTGACTTGAACTGCATGAAGGATCTCACTGCCTCTCCAATAGCTTGGAGGAAAGTAATAAATTTGTGTGGACAAGATTTCCCAGTCATGAGCAACCTGGAACTGGTGCAGTATATGCAAAGCACTGAATGGAGGGACAAAAACATGACACCTGGAATCAAACAGCCAGCCACTATGAAGCACAGAACACAATTTCAGCACCATGAGATTGTGGGGTCACATGTTGCCCTAAGGCTGCCAAGACACAAAAAACCTCCTCCTCCTCATAACTTGAAAATGTATTTTGGAACAGCATACTATGCTCTCACAAGAGATTTTGTGGACTTTGTTCTGAAGAACCAAATAGCCCATGACTTCCTGGAGTGGTCCAAAGACACATTTAGTCCAGACGAGCACTACTTTGTGACACTCAACCACATAAAAGGTAATCTGATTGTTGCAAACAGACACACAATCTAATCCAATTGGACAAATCTAAGGAGTTTAACTGACATGAGTTTAAAATGCTGAGAGGGATGACCCACCAGGAAACTCAAGAAATGCCAAACAGTTCAGCAGTATCAAACAGCTTATGTTCACATAATGTGAGACAGCATTACATCATTAATTGTTAGCTTTTTGTAAAATTTTGAATGCTACATCAACTAAATAAAGAGCCAAGCAAAAGAATATTTCATCCTGGCATTTCATTTGTGTCCAAAGACACAAATGAAATGAGTCTTTGCAAAAAAATTAAAATAAAAGAATAAATATATACAACAAACAGCAGACTTGCCTATTTAATAATGTAGTATCACATACATCAGAGATGCAGATATTATCCGGCCGGAGCCAGCATATAAGCGACTTAATCCTCATTATAGTCTGTCATGATTGTTAATTGGTCTTCCTAAAGACCAATTATCCTGACAGTTCCGATCACTCAGCATACTGAGTGATCCAAACTAGTGTCTGACCACAGGAGCATGGGATGGACTCTAACAAAACAGATTTGTATTATGAATTGTTCAATTGGAAAGGAAGTGCTGCACACAAGTGTTTTATACTGACACAGAACTGGAAACCTAACATCACCTCATTATTAAACTACGCAATTAATAACTGCTAGAGGATAAACCATCAAAATTTATAGTAAGAATGTATATATATTTGTATATCCACATCTTACACCTTTGTCCCTAGTGGGGTCGGGAGGGGTGCTGGTCCCTATCTCCAGCTAACGTTCCGGGTGAGAAGCGGGGTACACCCTGGACAGGTTGCTAGTCTGTCGCAGGGAAACACAGAGACAGACATGACAAACAACCATGCACACAGACTCTCACACCTTGGGAGAATTTAGAAAGACCAATTGACCTGACAGTCATATTTTTGGACTGTGAGAGGAAGCCAGAGTACCTGGAGAGAACAACCATAATGGACTATAGTGAGGATTAAGTCGTTTATATGCTGGCTCTGGCCGGGTAACAACTTCAAATATGTAAGCTATGCTCCACTGTCAGCGAACATGTTTACGCCTGTGCACTTCTTCTTTTTATGGCGGTTGGCAGAATACTGAGAACACTGAAGCTATTGCACCCTCTCTTGCACATCCAGGACATTTTCAGGCCGTTTGTCCGTTCAGACTGCAGAACACATACAGGTCACATATGTGTGAAAGTGTGAACAGCCCTGGCAAAAGAATTCGATTTGACAATCAGGTCACTTCAGGCTGTAGTGTGAATGCAGCCTTAGAACACAACAGTCTGTCAATGACCATCAATGATGTTATTTAATTGTAACTAATCCCGCCACGTGCACTGGGACCAGGGGGCACATGGGCACAGAGCTGGCTTTCCTGATGAGCTCATCCATTTCTTCTCTGCTGTAGATAAGCTGCTGTTCCAATATGCTACACAAACAGAGAACTCCTAAAACTAGGGTGTGCGTTTGCTTTTCAATATTTTTTACAAGCATGTATGACACAATTTGATTCACTTCTGCACAAAAGACTTTAAAAAAGGTTTTTCCTGGAAGTTGTGATGCTGTGACTGTTGCTGTTGACAGAAAACAGTTAATTAATTCCATTACTTGTCAGGAAGAAGATTACCTTTGAGAAATCAGACTTCCTTTTAGTCATACATGCATCACATCACACTTCTCTAAGAGTGCAGAGAAATTTAACTGTCTTGGAAATATTTGTGCAATCAGAACTATGACTGCATGACAAGCAGTGAAAAAAACAAGTGAAATCCTCATAGGATGTCTTATTGAAATTCTTTTTTGGTTAAATATTTTAAATATTTTAGTTTTTAAACTTACAAGTGAAAACATATTTTCTACTGTCAGATGAAACTTTAAACTTTAAATCTAAAAATTGTCAGTTAATGATCAATAATTTATTACGTTGACATTTATTTAGAGTTATATTTTATTTCTAAAAACCTATTTAGATACAAAAGTACAGAGTAAATTATATTTAAATTTTCTTACTTTCTTAAGAGTGATAACAAATATGCTACATTTTTTCTTTTTAAATTTTTTTTAACAGAAAGTTAATTTTTTTTCTGAGATAATGTATGAATATAAACGAAAGCTTTAATGTAAAGGTTCATGTTTTTTCTCATGTCTGTAAACACACTTCTGTAATTTTGGTACAGCTGTTCATGTTCATATTGTCATGTTGCATGTAGAAGCTCCAGGCAGTCGTATTGATGGAGGTTGGGAAGGAGCTATTCGGGCAATCAAGTGGAGGGACCAAGAAGGAAAGGCACATGATGGTTGCAAAGGTATGAGACTGTAAAATTATGCTGGTTAACCGCTGGTTTACAGCACTGGGTGTGAAACTTTAAAAAAATATATGTACAGTTCAGATTTTTCTTTAAATGCTTTTTTTCCTTTTTTTTCCAGGGCATTATGTACGGAACATCTGTGTCTATGGGATAGAAGACATTCCATGGATCATCGAGAAGAAGTCCATGTTCGCCAATAAGTTTGAGATTAATACATTTCCAGAGGCACTAGATTGTTTGGAGCAGTGGCACAGAAACAAAGTCCTGAACCAAGCAACTGTTCCTATAAATCCATCATGGCTGCGATGATCCCACAATAACTCAATTAACTTCTGACACAGAAGTGTTGAAATCGCTGCTGACATCAATATGCTAAAGAATCTATAGAGTCTCCCAAGCTGTCTATGTAAAAATGTGAATCCAGTGCCCTGAGTTGTGAAAGCAGCATAACTGCACTATTTATTGAACTCTTCCTTTCCTGTGATTATGTATCGTCTACCCCAATTAGACATTTTTGTAAAACAAAATGTTGGAAAAAGAGTGAATTATTTATTTAAAACCATAGTTTCATTTTATGTACAGCTTAAAAAGGGATTTTTTATAAACTAATTTATTGTTTTAATATTAAACATAATATGTAAAAAATAAAGACAATGTGAAAACAAATGTTCACCTTCTAAAATAATTTGTTTCCTCTGTTAAATGAGTTCATTGACTATTGCTACATTTGTTTCTGTGATGTAAGGTAAGCACTAGATTATTATTAAAAAGTGAAAGGCAAACACCTCTGAAAGTCTTACCATGAAACCAAAAGATCAAACACAGCTGTAGGATCATACTGAGATCAATTATACCTTCATATGACAAAGAATTATTTAGGTGTTGTGCTGCTCCAAGACATAAATACTGAGATATCAAGCAAAACCAACAGGTATTAGCCATTCATGACAATGAAATAATAAAAAATCAGACATAAATCTGAGAAATGGTGCTATTTTTCTTATATATTCAGACCTGAAAATCAAATACTCCACTCCTAAAGTCCAAATGGAAAAACTCTTCAACATAACTTCAAACTGAAAATGAACAGAAATGCGTGTCAAACGTTTTTAGCTAACATTCAACATTTTCTCGCATTCTCCAAATTTCCCAGCAAGCATTTTAACGAGTTCCTCCATGGAACGCAAAAGCACATCTAAAAATAAATCCCTTGCAGTCAGCCAGCATGATAGCCCCAAAAGATAATGTGTCACAAACCCATACAAGCTGAAGTCCCAGCTTGTATCAGGGTCAGTTTCTCATGAGAAAGACAGTTATTTTTGGTAGTTTAACCTTATTTTGACTAACTCAAAATAGCTATGGTCTAACTGCCTTCAACTTACTTTTACTTCAACAGAGACACCAAAAGAGATCAGCTTATATCAACTGCCTTATTCCTAAAAATAGCCTAACCTAGAGAAATTGTTACCACAACCTTGAAGTTATGTCAAACTAACTTCAAAGCTGACATAAAAGGTCAAAACCTAAAATAACTTCTAATTCCATTGCTGAGAGATTCCCATATGGCTACAATTAGGTTAAAAAGGAAATCCAAAAGTCAAACTGAACGTGAACAATGCATCTACAAAACATTGTAGATGCATGGGAAACAACCAGTACATCTCTATATTATTTGCTGGGTCATTGCGCCACATTTAGTAGCAAACACTCCAATTGTCATTTTCTGCACAACATCACATGTGGATTCATCTTTTTAAGAAAATCTGTCTGCAAATCATACTACAAGAAGTCTGGTCTTTAACTCGACCATTGTAACACCTTGATCAATGTTATTTTCAGTAATTCTGTTGTGGATTTGAGCCACATACGATTATGAGCCACATACGATCAACAGTGAGCCAGGGGCCACTGACATTTCACTGACTGAATAGTTATGTGAAATCACAAAAAGACATGAAAAATACTTGTAAGTAGCAAAAAGGGACGATAATAAAGTATATATATATATATATATATATATATATATATAATATATATATATATATATATATATATATATATATAAAAAAAATTCCCTTCTCACCCACCGCGGGTGGTTCTTATCCTCTGAGCTCGGGTCCTCTACCAGAGGCCTGGGAGCTTGAGGGTTCTGCGCAGTATCTTGGCTGTGCCAAGGACTGCACATTTCTGGACTGAGATGTCTGATGTTGTTCCCATTTTCGTCTTGTTCCAGTAGCCCATTTGTCATCAATTAAAAAAAAAACAAAAAAAAAACTATATATATATATATATATATATATATATATATATATATATATATATATATATATATATATATATAGTTTTTTTTTTTGTTTTTTTTTAATGCTTACCTTATGGCAGATCTCAGTCTTTATCTCCTTGAGGGCCCTGTCTGAAAACACACAACCACAGGTCTGCAAGTAGCAGAACCTAAAAGGAGAACAAATAAAGCATAAGTGCTTTCTCAGTTTTCTTCCTAGTTTCTCAAGTATCTAATGGTTAGTTCATGAACAAAGTAAACTTGTATTTAGTTTATGTTGACAGATGCACCTTATAGCAGAGAAAAACATTTTAAAAATCAAGAATATAATTCTGTTTGACTTTCAACATATTAAAAGTATTCCTCACTTTAGTGATGGTAAAGTTAAAATTATACAGTTTTTTGAACTTTAAAAACTTTATAGTTTGGCCAGTACTTTTAAAAATCCGGTAATAAAAATCACGACATGTCGGAATTCCCAAGGTACCAGAAAACAGCACCTGTCTATGAAGCATAATGAGTACATATAAAACAAAGAGTTGCGACAGAATTTCTAAAGGACACAAATGTTTAGCATACATTAATTACATCTGTAACAGGAACATACTCCAGATTAGAGACGTGGCAATACACTAATCTCACAATACAATATGTGATATTCTGATCACAAAATAATATATATCACAATATTCATCAAACAATACGATTTAATAAGATTCATTACATTTTAAGATTTTAGTGACATTTTGTGACTTTTCCACAGACTTGGATTGACTATTTGATGGTGTAATACTGGTGTAACAATATTGTTTTGGTTATATATTTGTTATACATTTACTTTGTTTAAATATTAATTCTGTGGCTTTGTGTATTTGATTATGCAAAAAATTAACCTTTTCTGTTTTATTCACTTATATTAGATTATGTAATTTATCTAATTCATTATTTAAATAATTGTGGCTGGTTGTTTCATTACATGTCATTTTTAATGTACATGAGCAATTGCACAAAAAATGGCATGTCATAGCTGTCATCTAATATATGTGGATTAGACATAAAACTCAAAGTAGGACTTAATGTATTGATACTCATGGATCAAAAAAAATCGTTATTTTCTGAGGAAAAAAATATTGATGAATATGGTAGAATCTATAAAATTACGCATTACCCTAGATAATATACTTTGAACCTATGTGAAAACAGTTTGTGGCATTTTTTCAGCTTTTTATTATGCAATCTTAGTTTTGAGGCAAGAAAATACTATTTATTACCTGTGCTTTCCATTCATCTCTAGGCCAACAACGGGACAGATGAACATGCCACAGTGGATGTCCTCATATCTGTCTCCTTTTGTATTTCTCCTCTCTCCCTCCCATTCAGGATTATCTGTGAGGTTGAGCTCCTTTATATCCTTTAAGGACAGAAACATTCCAGAAAGGTTATAAAATAAACAGATGCAGTCACTTGAGCTTAAGCTCATGTACATCAAAATTCATTTTTTTTCACTTAATAAATATACCTTAATTCCACGAATATGCGTAACAGCCTCAGCGTTTGGTCTTTCAGCAGATTTATCCAGGAGGTATTCAATGATAGCATCTTTGTTATAAAGTCTGGAAAACAACATCGTCAAATATTTCAAGTCGTGTAAATAGATTAATTTAAGGATTCAAAGTAAAACTGCATGGCCCGATCTTATGGGCCATGTAATAATAAATAATAACATTTTTATTTTATTTTTTTTGTTGATACAACATCTTACCTGCCCAGCTCACATGAAACGATGGGTCGCCTGAGTTTCTCTTGGCTCAAGGCGCAGTACTTCCACTTGGCAGCGAGTTCAGCATTCTTGTCAACCTTCAGTAATCAGAAAGGCTATTACTTTAAGTAACTAGTCTTGTCTTTGGTTCGTTAATAATACAAATACGTGTCTTCAGAGAAAAACTTTACGTAATTTCTACTAACTCTGTGAGTACAAATATGTCTACAAGGAAAAAAAATGTCTCTAAAATTAGGCAAAACAACAAATAACTAACATGCGTATAACAAGTTTAGCTGTTAGCATTAGCGAGCCACTGACTGCTTTCGTCAACGGCTTTACCTAAACATAACCCAATTTTAAACGAAATATAAAGAAACACTCACAAACCTTTTCAACTTTTTTTGGTCCTTTCACCAACTCATGTCTTTTTGGAATCGTACCACCATCACATCCCATCTTGAAAACTGACGTTTAGCTAAACTGCAGCTGTTAGCAAACACGGACAAAGCTGAAGTAAAGCTAACAGGAAGTTCTCGTGTTGTAAACAAACAAGGAGAGAACTTCAAATCTCGCGATAGGTGAGATTTATTTAATATCGCCCCTTAGTGGTACTAAATGTATAAATCGTCACAATTTCCCGGATTTTTTGTCTTTGTTGCAATTAGTGCGAAAGAACTGGCTTGCATACGAAAGACACAACAACCACCCACTAAAAATGGACACAAAAATGGCATTTTAACTGTTCACTGTAGAGAACACGATCTTATAAAATGGATATCTAATTTTTAAGTTCTACAGATGCTTGTTTGCTCCTTCGCCACAGTGTGGCACTCTTATTTCAATTATGAGTTCATTTGAAAAGCTATTATAATGGAGAGGTCTTTATGTGTTTTCAAATGCTTTATATTTCCAAAGTGTGAAATAAGAGTACATATACTGCGGTTATTATTGGCGGTATTAATGAATATTATATTGCGTTTTGCACCGAAAAGAAAATGCATTTGAATAAAGTATGGCACGTACAAAAGCGAAATGCATACAGAATGTATTTCAGGTGTTTAAAATGTTGCATAAGTTAAAACAGTCAGAAAACCTCAAATATAGCCATACACAAGACTTCAAACTAGTGCTTAAGCCATGTTGACTGCTGCAAGAATGCATAAGGAAAAAAAAATAACTCAGGTTACTTCACTCTCTTACTGCTCATCCATCTATGAGACATTTTCAGGCACCCATTAAACTCAGAACTAGTAAGTGACATTAGTCTGGCTTTCAGGCCTGTTGTCAGAGTGGTCTAAAGATGAAAGTTTCCTTAGAAGATAGTTCAATGAGTGCTAATGAGATCTGTTTCCTGTGCCTCACAGGCTGCAGATTAGTTTACTATCGACGGTGCTGTCCAAGAGCGACCATTAGTTTGGGGAATACCTCAGTGGAGACTTTGCTGGCGGCATGACTAATAATTTGTGTGGAAGAACAGACTGAATGAAAAACAAAACTGGATTTCATTTTATAAGGGAAAATGAGGTTTTGGTCTCATCTCACAAATACCCACACACTTCTCACTTGGGCGTTTAGATTCTGTCCTCAAAATATGCCAGAATTAGCAAGTAGAATCAAAGAAACATGCATGCATTTTGCCTGTCGGTTCGATTGCTTCTTCCTGTAATTTATAAATGATGTTATGTGTCTTATTGAATTTACCCCCTTTCTCACACAGAGCTAAATGTTTAGTATGGATTTTCATTAGGGGGAATGGAGTGAAAGCTCTGTTAGCAAACTATCTTTGAGACAGTACAGCACCCCCGGCTGATGTGCAAATCAACAACACCAGGAACACACACTGAACAATGCCTGCTGGATAAAGGAGGTTTGGAACAATGGTATTCTGTTGCCTTTGTGTTGTTACAAGTTAATCCCAGTTTTTTCTTGCTATCTTTTCCTCAAGAAGGCCACACTTGTGTCATAATTTGAACATGACATTCACCTTGGTGAAATAAATAGATATTTATCTATTCATGAAAAGATATTTATTTCACCTGCAACTGTTACATTGCAATGGGCATTTTGAACATTTTATATTACA